CTCTCTCTCTCTCTCTCTCCTTCTCTCTCTCTCACGCGCGCATGCGCGTGCGCGCACACACACACACACACACACACACAGCCACCGTTGATCCCCACAAAGCAACGCTCCGATAACGTGGTTTGGTCCCCTGCGCCCCACGCGACGGGCAAAAAAAAAAACGCACGCCGGGCAAAAAATCCTCGGCCTGGCGTCGGCCTGTCCCCCCGCCTCGGTTTTGTGTCCCACGCGATTTCTGTTGTGCCCACGACCAAGCATGACGCTAGACCATGACGCTAGACCATGACGCTAGACCATGACGCGAGACCCTTTGCTTGCTTTAGTTGTATAGAGATATGAAATAACGGCGGACGCGGCATGTTTTGAAACCCTAAAGGCAAAAAAACACGCGCCGGCGAAGAAACCACGCGCCAAGTCAGAATGAGCGATTTTGGTCCAAAAGTTTCCGTTGGGCATTTTTTTTTTTTTTTTTTTTTCCCCTCTGACACCACGGCCCACCCCTGTAAATATGACACCCGGTCTGACACCACGGCCGTTGGTACTTCCGTTGCCTTTTCGAACTCGTGTGGTTTTCTTTGCCGACGCCAGTTTTTTTTGCCCATTCCATACTCTCAAAGGTGACATAAACGTACTTACCCCTTCATTTATTTATGTGGTGTAGCAGTTGACCAACTCCGCTGCTGAGAGGTACGATCATGCCGCTGCTAAAAGACAGATAATAAGTTCGAATTCTGGCCAAACACCATCATTTTGGGCTACCTGTCTTGGCACAGAAAACAAAAATGCACCCAAATTATGCTAATAAACAACAACAAAGTTGAACGACGCGTTCTATTCGATTGAACCGCTCACCGCGCATCAAAAATGGATTGACACTCCATCATTACCGTCATGGCGTTAAAACTGGGACAATGGACTCACCAATGTCCCAATGCCATGTCGTGGCGGGTTCATTGTCGCAATTTGAACTCCCCAACGATCAGTTTATTCTCCCGATTCGGGGCCAGTTTTGCCAGAATGCCCTGAGGGCATCCTCAAACAGGGGTGCTAAGCACCTCTCTCCTCCACTCGCCGAATTTGAGCAATGAACCATTTCTCGATTTATGCATGTCATCCTTGTGCAGGGGTCATGCTAATCTTTTCTGTCTCGGTTCAATGACGAGTATGTCTTGGACAAGAAACTGGCAGAATACACTCGCCCTTGAAGTTCTCAATTCGTGTTTTTTTCCCCCTGTTGCAGAATTCTTTCTTTGTTTTCTTGTTTTCCACGGAAGCTGGGGAAATAGAAAAGGCAGAAGAAATACTGAAAATAACTTCCTCTTTTTTTTCCTAAGATAAAGTTGAGCCCCCATTCTCAGTCCTAGTATTAGATGAAGGTGAGCTTCCATTCTCTTAGTACTGCTCTGGAATAGTCTTTCCCACAAAAGGGCAGACTGACTGGATAGATTCTGCACAGTCTCCGCATTCATATTTAGTATAACAATACTCAGAGAACAGTCAGCCTGCCGCTCTCACCTTGACTACCCCCCTCTCGCCCTTTTGTGCTTATATGCCCACCTCCCAAAGGCCAAACCTAATGCCTCCCTGGACTTGTGTATTTGCAGGGCGAACTCGCTCATGCTCGAGCAGCCATAAGCACATGCTGACTGTCGAAAGAAAGCAACAACTTCCTAATTCTGCTAGCCTAGCAGCTGCGTGCTCCCGTGAGGCCTACAAATAAAAGCTTCCTTCTCCTTGGCACGTAACTCTCTTTTCTACACGATAGAAAATATACAATACAATACAATGCAAACGCATTTCTGCCACCCTAAAACAAATCCTATTTGTCGTACCAACCGTTTTGGGATACATTTAGCTAGGCTACCGGCGATGCCTGTGCAGATCCCCCGGCTGTCCACGTGCCCGGGCAATCCCCGGGCATGTAAAAACTCCAGGAGTTTTTTCTGCGCCCACTGAAAGCATCCCAAACATGAAGGGGGGAGATGGGGGTAGAAATGGGGCTTAAATGAGCCTCAAGGGCCTTAAAGGGGGCTTAAGGGGGGGAGTGCCTTAGTTTGAACCGTTTAATTTTCCTTCTTATTTCTGATTCAGTAAGAAATTCTGGGGTGACCCTCAGAAAAACAAGTGATTGCTGTGCAACTCTGCACGTTCTAGTTTTTCCCAGACTTTTTAATTTCTAACTTCCTCCTTTTTCTTTATACCGATTTTGTGCTGGTGCTGCCCAGGACCCTGCCCATCCAGGCGCAGTGTCCACTGTCCGGGACAAACATTCCCTGCCCAGAGGCATGGAGAAACAGCATAGGCATTTAGTCAGTGGCAAAGTTCCGTCAGAGAATTAGGAGGTCTAATTTGCGGTTACAATCAGAGTCCAGATGGACTACATATTCTGAACTCCCGCACCACCTCTCTCTCTCTCTCTCTCTCTCTCTC